ACCAACCCCTACGCCATGGGCGTTGGCCTTGCCTGCTGGGTAGGCCAGTGCGAGACGCAGGCCGGGCCCACTGCTCTGAGTGGTTACGGCATGAGGGAAGAAATGAACTCAGATGTGGAGGGCAGCCTCCTCTCCCTCGACAGGAAAAACCTCATCCCAAGAGTCCGGCCCCACTCCGGGAAGGTGGCTGGCTACGTCCCAGAAACTGTCCCAGAAGAAATCGGTCCAGAAGCTGGGTCCACAACCCCTGGCAGTAGAGAGGCTGTTTTGGAGGTGAGAAAGACAACCCCGGAAGCCACCAGCCGCGCCTTGCCTGCCAAGCCCAGGGCCTTCACTCTGTACCCGAGGTCGTTCTCCGTGGAAGGCCGGGAGATTCCATTCTCCTTGTTCCACGAACCGGAGGCATTAGACGACCGTCGGATGAAAAGGGAAGAGAACCTTTCTCTGCCGTGTGTGATTGGTTCTTCGGGAAGCTTCTCCCAGAGAAACCACCTGCCTTCCAGTGGCACATCCACCCCCTCCTCCGTGGTGGACATCCCGCCCCCTTTTGACCTGGCCTGCATCACCAAGAAGCCCATTACCAAGAGCTCGCCCTCTCTGCTCATTGAGAGTGACTCCCCAGACAAGTACACCAAGAAGAAGAAGTCCTCCTTCAAGCAGTTCCTGGCGCTGACCTTTAAGAAGAAGACGGAGAGCAAAGTGCATGTGGAGGTGAACGTGTCCTCCTCCCGCTCCTCCTCCGAGTCCAGCTACCACGGGCCTTCGCGGCTCCTGGAGATGGACCGGAGAAGCCTCAGTAACTCGCCGCAGCTGAAGGCTAGGACAGGGAAGCTCCGGGCTTCCGAGTCTCCCTCCTCCCTCATATTCTACAGGGATGGCAAGCGGAGAGGTGTCCCCTTCAGCAGGACGGTGTCCAGAGTGGAGTCCTTCGAAGACCGCTCTCGGCCGGCCTTCCTGTCCTTGCCACTGACCAAGCCACGGTCCATCTCGTTCCCCAACGCGGACACTTCAGACTACGAGAACATTCCAGCCATGAACTCAGACTATGAAAATATCCAGATTCCACCCCGGAGGCCCACAAGGGCTGGGACGTTCACGAAGCTCTTTGAAGATCAGAGCCGAGCTCTGTCCACCGCAAATGAAAACGACGGCTATGTGGACATGAGCAGCTTCAACGCCTTTGAGAGCAAGCAGCAGAGCGCCGACCAGGAAGCAGAGAGGTACTGTGAGATTGTATTTCCTTTCTTGCTCGCCAGGGGTGATGATCCGAGAGGCTGCTGCCGTACAAGGGACAAGGTGGATTCGCCTTAGGGTGATTGTGCGTGACCTGCCTGAGCCTCAGTGAAGTTCCTCTGTGAAACGGGCCTGATATTTGGGAAGGTCGGAGTAGACAGTCTGAGCATGTGTGTGGACATTCCTTGGGGGGCAGTTCTTTCCTTTCATAAGCCGGGCTGCTCGCCTCTGGGAAAGTCACCAGGAGCGCAGGGGCTGGAGTCTTTGCCAAGCCAAAGCTTTCTTAGCCTCAGTAAAAGACGCTGAATGGAGACGGATGCCCTTTTTAGTGTGTGTTCAACAGGGAGCTGGGAAAGACTATTTAAATTGCTTAAAGAGCTACAGGTGCCCTGAGCTCAATTTCTGTGTTTGGGACTGATTCACGTTGACAAGTGGGAGTGAAACACATAACGTTACTAATAATAGCGTGCGTGTGTGTGTGTGTGGGGGGGGCGGTTTGCCCAGCAGGGATAGGACCCTACCTCATCAAGACTAACTGAATGTCCTTATGGATCATCCCAAATGCCAGTTGCCAAATCTTTCTGTCCTTGGATATGTGGCTGCAGCTTCAAGGTAGGGCACTGAAATCCCAGCCATTGACCTTCTGCTGTCGAGACCGCCTGATGTAAAGGAACAGAAAACCAAAACTGTCATGATTTTGTAAAAAAAAAAAAAAATCTACTTGTTTCCTCTTAATGTGCAGTAACTTAACTAATCCTCCACAGCTGTTCCTTCTAGGAATTCCTAGGGGCTCTGCAGTAATGAATAGTAAGAGTGATTTGCAATGAGCATTACCTGTATTGCTGAAGCACCGATGCTAGGAAGTACGTGGATGGTGTTCTCTTGAGTCTTTTACAGTTTCCCACCCTGGCTCCACCTTCTCTCTGCCCCAAATCTGGGTAAAGGCTATTTGTTAGTCCCCACCCTTACCCCCTGGGGTAAAAGGGTATGTTTGCCAAACCGAGGTAACCACCAACCTGCCTGAGGGAGAGAGTGCAATTTGGAAAAGGTAGACAGGAGGAAGCTTGTGGAGGGCGGGGGGAGGGAGAGCCAACTATTAATACTTAGCAGGATCCTAGCCCAATGCCTCCCAGCAGTAATGAAAACAGAGCAAAACGATGACAGCGGGAAATTCCCATGCTGGAAGGGACCTCAGAGGGCATCTGGTCAAGCTTCCCATCTCTCCCAGGTGGCCATCCAATCTGTATCCAATCTGTACTTGAATTCCTCCAGCCACGGGAAATACCTCCCCTCCTGGAGTGGCTCTCTTTGTTTCTAGGTATCCTGATGATTGTGAATCTTTTCTTTCTGATCTAATCAAGCGCTGTCTCCCTTCTGAGGTCTTATTCCCACCCGCTCTGCTCTCTGAAGCCAACCAAGTGAACTTACTTCCTTTGATGTGTAACAGCCTTCAGAAACGGAAATCCACTTCCATAGAATCTTAAGGGTTTTATAGCCGACCTTATCCAGCCTGGTTTCAGAAAAGGTAACAGACACAGAGGTGCGTAGGGATTTGACTGTGATCTTTAGCAAGTTACTGCAGAAAGAAGAACTTGGAATTCCGGATAACAACATGATAAATGGAGAAAAGATCGAAGTTTTCAAAGATTTCAGCCGCAATCTATGATCATGGAAGCAGCAGTCAAGAGAACAAACATTCTGTGGGTCAGTGAGATATCGATGTTTTATAGATAGTCGATGTGAAACTCTATAAATAGTTTGACTCAAGCAAGCATGATACTGTACTCAAGTACCAATATGCATTCATGGTAGGGAATCAATACTCCTGTTACAGGATTTATCCCATTGCTTTATGTTAATAAAATGATTGCAATCATCACACACACAAAAAAGAGATCAAACAATACATTGCATTGGGTAAATCTGCTGCACATGAGCTCTTTAAAGCATTGAAGACGTTACTTTGCAGACGAGGTGCACCTGACTCAATCCGTGGTGTTTTCAATCCCCTCCTATGCATGTGAAAGTTGGACATCAAATAAAGAACACGGAAGGAAAATCAATGCATTTGAATTATGGTGCTAGCAAAGAATGTTGAAAGTATTGCGGACTGCCAAAAAAGAAAAGCAAATAGATTTGCCTTGGAAGAAATACATCCTGAATTCTCCTTAGAAGCAAGGATGGAGAGACTGTGGCTCATGTACTTTGGGCATGCTGTCAGGAGAGCTCAGTCCCTGGAAGAGAATCTCATGCTTGGTAAAGTAAAGGGCAACAAAAAAGAGGAAGACCCTCAATGGGACGGGTGGGCACAGCGGCTACAACCGTGGGCTGGAGCATAACCGCATGGTGAGCTGGCACAGGAGCTGGTGGTGGTTCATTCTGTTACATGATCTGGGCTGGAAGCCGCTCGATGGCATCTAACACACAGTAACAGTCTGATTTGTAGTGGCTCACATGAAGGCACACCAAGTCTGAGGGGCAGGCTGTGTGCTATACAACCCAGGACCGCCATTCCCCCTTTTGTTTGTGGTGGAGTCCCCTGGAACTTTGGGCTGCACTAGCTTCTTGGTCATCGAAAAGCACCTGTTGGCACGCTCTGGATTATGTCCCTCAAACAACAAGTTCCCTTCATCCAGACTTAGTTACCCATAAACTCAAACCAAACCCACTGCTATCAAGTCGATTCTGACCCATAGCAACCCTGTGTAGGGTCTCTGAGACTAACTCTTCACAGAAGCAGACAGCCCAGCTCTTGAAGCCCGTGAGTGTGAACTGCTAACTTGGCATCTAACAGCCCAACACTGGCCCATCGCCCCACCAGGGCTCCTTCACATGACAATAAGGGAGTCAACAATCTAAGAAAATCCTAATGGTTACCATGCTGTGATTTTGTACTGGGTTTGCCATGCATTGCCTCACTTGTCAGTGCTGCAGCCTAGGGCCTTGGTTGAATGCCCTGAAATGCCAGGCTCAAATCTGCCAGATTTCAAATGGACTATTGGCCCTGCTCTGGAGATGTATAACCGAGGCCAGACTGAATGGGACAAATCTCCCATGCGGGAACCACATCCACTTGGACATAAGTCAGCGAGGAAAGCTTTCTTCCGCTCTCCTGCATGAAACAGATGGCTGCAAAGGGGCAGGAAAATCCCCGCTTTGGGTTCAAACAGGTCTGGGCAAGGGCCACACCAATTCAGACACATCCCTTTGAGAAGTATAAACGACTGCCAGAGGGGGTGGGCCACTTCTACGCTGAATGGGTGCTTTGAGAGTAGGGGGGGTGTTGCTGATTGGAGACATGCCCACAGAGTTCCCTGGGGTCAGAGGGGATGAGAGGGCGGAGAGGCAATTCCTTCCTCCTCCTGCTACATGTCCTGCCCCACACCTGGCCTTAGTGTGAGGATCTGAGGCAGAAGCCAAAATAAATATAAACTGCCCTGAGAGAGCACAGGACAGTGCACTGGAAGATGTGAGTCTGAAGCCTGCAGATGAACTTGCTGTGGGTCGTGGGGGAAAGCTGGTGCGCAGTTTCTTCATCTGTAAAATGAAAAGGTGAGACTACAACTGACTGTACTCACCAGCCTTTCAGGTGTCACCTTCGCCACCACCACTGCCTGCAGGAATAATTTACCTAGGGCTGGTCTTGTAGTCAAGTCCTCTGTTTGGTTTAATAGGAAATACTTAATTAAGGAACCTTCTTCCACTGTTGGGAAATAAAAAATCAATGTTAGTTTCAATAAAAGCATACTGCATACTGAAACATAAGATACTCAGCAAGACAAAGCGACACTAGTAACATTGAACTTGAGGTTATTATTTGCCAATGTTGTAAGCTTGGGCGCCTCATGTCTTCCTTAAATATGAAGCTGAATAAGTGTCCCAGAGATGTTAAAGTCTCCACTTGGTACCACTTTGAATTCGACTTTGAATTCGACATACTCCGAAGGATACAAAGAAGCTCGAAAAGGAATAACTCCTTTATGGTGTTATTCAATGTCATTTAAATCTAAGTGTCCCCCCCCTTCTTAAAAGGATCGCCTTTTAAGAAACCTAGGGTAAAACATACCACACTATTGTCAGGATCCTCATATGCATGTGAAAGTCGGACAGTGAGTAAGGACCACCGAAGGATTGGTGCATCTGGGTGATGGTGTTGGCGAAGAAGATGGAGAGTACCACAGACTGCCCGAAGAACAAGCTCATCTGCCTGGGGAAAGTGTAGCCAGAGTACTTCTTGGAAGCAAGGGTGGTGGAACTTTGTATCACATAATTGTTATCAGGAGGAACCAGTCCCTGGAACAGAATATCATGCTGGGTCAAGTGGAGGTTCAATGCAGAAGAGGAAAACGCTCAAAAAGACAGGTAGAGTGGTTGCAACAGTGGGCTCAGACGACACTGTGAGGATGACGCAGGACCGGGCAGCGTGTCATTCTGATGGACACAGGGCTGCTCTGAGTCGGAGCCTACTCCACGGCACCGAACAACTAACAACAATAAAAAAGAGGAAGAAAGAAGGAAATGTAGATTGCATTATGTAACTCAGCAAGCCTATTGAGACCCCTAAAGCAGTATCTGGGGGTCTAATGTGTGAGGATCAAGTTTCTTTTATGCAGTTACTTCCTTTGAGGTTTTTATACACAGAGGATAGCATTTTAGTAGCTACAGTAACATTCCTATTAAGTATCTTTATTTTATTAAATTACAGAGATAGGATGCTCCATGTGTTCATTTTTCCTGGGGTCCATAGGAAAGGTTGTATTCTCCGTTCATTTAAAAGGTGCCCTCCAAAGCATTCTTTGTTTCTGAATTGACCTCAGCCATATGTTGGTCTGCTAACTGCAAGGTCAGTGGTTCAAACCCACCAGTCGCTCTGAAGGAAAAAGATGAGTCTGTCTGCATCTATAAAGATTCATAGTCTTAGAAACTCCACCTAGGGTTACTCTGAGTCAGAAGCAACCTGATGGCAGTGGGATACTCAGCCCCAAAG